AGAAGCAGCAGAGGTGATGGTGGAAACATAGTCTCGCCAACAAGTGCGTTTAGCTTCACGGATGACACGGCGAGCAATCGCACGCTTCTGCTTAAAATCAAGAAGTCTCTCAGCGGTTCTATTGTACCGGTACCTGCCCCATGCAGCGCGTTTCAAACGTACTGCACAAGCACAAGCAGGAGACCACCAAGGCACGCACTTCTGAGAATGCCTGCCTGAGGTTTGGGGTATAGAATGAGAAGCTGCGGTATAAACCGACGTTGAAAAGAGGTGTAGGAGTTCATCAATGGAGGATGAAGAAGGAACCTCACTAAAAGCAGTGAGGTGTGAGTAAAGATCCCAATTTGCCCGATCAAATTGCCAGCGAGGGCTACGGAAAGGTGGTGAATAGGAAGGAGAAGTAAGAATGATTGGAAAATGATCGCTGTCATGTAAGTCCGGTAGAACAGACCAGGTGAAGTCTAGTGCAGTGGAGGAAGAGCAGACTGATAGATCGATGCAAGAGAGAGTATGAGTACAAGGATCAAAATGGGTGGGAGTACCCGTATTTAAAACATGGAGGGGGTGAGAGGCGAGAAAAGCCTCCAACTGGATGCCACGTGAGTCACAATGAGAGCCCCCCCAGAGGAAATGGTGGGTGTTAAAATCACCAAGTAACAGAAGTGGTGGTGGTAAGGATGAAACAAGTCTGGGATAGAAAATGCTCGAGAAGGAGAGAGATATAAAGAACATACTGTAAACCACTTATTCAAGTGGATACGGGCTGCAGTGTAATGCAGCGAGGTATGGACAAATAGTTGACAGTATGGAATATCATTGCATAGAAGAAGGGCACTTTCATTAAAGGTCCCATCTGAGAAAGGATCTGAAGAATACAATAAATTATAGCCTAAGATAGGTTGGAAAACAGCCGAGTGTAATTTTGGTTCTTGTAAGCAAGCACCAACAGGGGAAAACCTGGAAAGCAACATCTGAAGTTCACCCCGATTACCCCTGAGGCCGCGGATATTCCACTGTAAATAGGCCATGATTGGCGATGAAGAAAATACCAGGAATCCGTAGGGAAAGGCACCTACAGACTAGAGGGGTTAGAAAAGTCAACGTGTGGTGGCATTGGAAGAAGTTCAAGCAGCGAAGGAACCGAGCGTTGCGAAGAATGGGGTTGTGAAGATGGAGGAGAGGGAAGAGAAGGAACAGGAAGGGAATCAGTGTCCATTGAAGGTTTAGTCTCTGCAATATATTCTGAAATGGCTTCAAGTGTTTCTGAATTCAAAGATGTATGGGAGACCATTTTGGAGATAGAAGGGGGAGGGTGAGTAAAGATTGGGACAGTAATGGACTGTACCAAAGTAGAGGGGGGGGGGAAAGAGTGTAAGGCACTGGAGATGAAGTTGGGGGGGGGGTGGGGGGGGGACAGAAGAGGCAGAAACCTGGGAGGTGGCAGAAGAGGAGAAACTTGGGAGGGGACGGGGGTGGAAGGCATAGTACGAGGAGGAGGGTGAATCTCCACACTTGTAATAGAGCCAGAGAGAGGGGAAGAACTAGGCCCAGAGACTGGAAAGGTAAAGTGTGGAGGTGGAAGAAGGGAAGGAAGGGGCAAAGAAGATTTGAGCAATGTGGATTTTTTGGACTTCTGAGAAGTAGAGGGGCGATTGGTATTAGGTGTCGTACGAAGTCTTGTCGATACTGGGGCTTGTGAGGAAGGACGCGAAGATGTGAGAACAGACTGAGTTGTAGTCGGGACGTCAGAGCCAAGGACAGCAAAAGGATTAGATTCCGGAGTGGCTATGGGAGGGGTAACAACAGAGGAGGCTGCAGAAGATGGGACCCCAGAAGTGGGGGGATGTTTTGAAACACGAGAATAAGAAACACGGGGTAGTCTCCCTTGGAGGCGGAGATGAGTAACTGCCATAGCATAAGGGAGACCTTCTGCCTCTTTGAGGCAACGGATTTCACGTTCATTTAAGTAGACCTGGCAACGGCGGGAGTACAAAGGGTGAGCTTCATTACAATTAAGGCAAGATGGAGGTTGACTGCAAGATGTATTAGAATGGTCGTCAGCACCACAGACTGGGCATTCGGCCATAGATCTGCAATATTTCGCTGGGTGACCAAAAACGCCAGCAATTTCTACACTGTTGCGGTGTAGGTATCACCTTTCGAACTTGTAACCGATGTCCCACGACATATACAGAGGACGGGAGTTCTCGGCTGTCAAAAGTTAAACGAGCTATATTGCAAGGGTAACGTCTCCGCCCACGGGCAGGAAGGACATAAGTGTCTACTGTGAGGATTGGGAGATCCTGGAGTTCCAGCTGTTCAAGAATGTCATTGCCACATGACTGGAAATTCTGTTGGACTATGGTATGGGGCAGAATGACAGTACCACTACAAGAATTGAGAGAAAGATGTTTTTCAATAGTGATAGGAGTAGTATCTATATGCAAAAGGAGAGAAAGATCATGAGCTTGGGTAGCATTCTGGACAGTGACGATGCACGTACCGCTCTTGAGAGCATGAAATGAAATATCTCTACCAACATGACGCAGGAGCGCTTTGCCAATACTATGGTCAGAAAGGTAGGCAGAAGAAGTCGGTCTTAAAGTAAAGAATTTAGTCCATTGTGTGGTTGGAAACTGAGCGTGGAGAGGGAGTGCATGACGTGTCGGTCTTTTCCGAGTAGAATGGGAAGGTAACGAAGGAGCATCATCAGGAGATTGACGTTGGCGTTTAGGGGTAGGACCGGAGTTGGTCCGGCGTGAAATAGGCGGGCGATTCAAAAATTGCCGTACTGTAGAGGGAGAAGCCGGAAGCATAGTCAAAGGAGAGCGGAGTTCAGATAAATCGAAGGAGTCAGTCGAAGCCCCAGTACCTGAAGCGGGTGAGGAAACAGCACCAGCAAGAGGTACAAGGGCATCAGGAGGGTCCGAAGAGTGGTCTAAAAACAAGGCAGGGTCAGAATGGGGTGCGGTATCAAGAAGGGGCCCGGGGGTAGTGGGTTCATGGATTGGGTTCTCCATGGTTAGGTTACTCCTTTGCTTTTTGTTTTTAAGAAAAAAAAGAAAGAAAAGAAAATAAAAATAAAAAAAAGAATAAAAAAAGGGGGAGCGGGGAGGAATAGTTCCCAGGAGGAATGAAAGGGCCGGAAATCTCCCTCCGCGCCCAAGAGGACCTCAGCACCGCTAGTAGCGCAGATGCAGCATGGAACCCGTGCCATACCCTACCCTTCATGCCAGTAAACCAGCAATCCGGGATAGCAACCTCACATCTGCCGAGCTACCTCAGTGGACAAAAGAGAGGGCGGCCGGATATCCACCACAAAGCCTACCTCCTTCGGCCACCACCCCCGGAATCCGAAAGGTGGCTTCCAGAGATACACCCGTCGCCCGAAAGACACCCAAAGCTACTCCGGGATACCGGAGAGGGATCGGGACATCCCCAGGCGATCCAGATTCCACGGCAAACTACGCCATCGCCAAGAGCCTCAACAGAATGGGATGGACCCCGGTATCCTTTCCCCTACCTAGGAACTAGTGCGCCTGTGGGAGAAATCCCAAAGGCCAAAAAGAGGAAGGGCAAAAGGGAGGGGTGGGGAGGAGGAGGAGGGGGAAAGGAAAAAGGGGAGGATGGGATAGGGGAGGGGAGATTGGGGGGTAATTAGGTTTGGTGTGAGGAAGAAGACCGACAGGTCTAATTCCTCAGACCAAGAGCCTCTTCACCACGCCAAGGAGCCCCCCTTGAAGAGGTTTGAGAGAGGAAGCCAGACAGTATAAGCATATTTTTATTCTTCTTTAAAAAGAAGAAATTATACCCGTGTTGGTAATACAGCAAAACATGGAAGTGGGGTGCTGGTATCAGTAAAGTGTGAAGGTCAGGTACATGCACTAATGAGGAAAAAGTTTATTACAAATCAGCTTCACAAAGACAAATCTGAGTTATGGGACCCTTCAGATGTTCGTCTTATACAGGTTTTTCGTCATTGACTTAAAAAAAATAGCTGTACAGGAAAAAACATGCCTAAGAAAGTGCAGTTAATGTCTATTTGAGTACATACAAATTGTCATTCATTATTATTACTGTAAATTTTGGGAAGCACTAAACCCATAGGGGTCATATAGCCCCTGGAAAAATGGGCAGCAATCATGTTTGTTCCAAATGAAAGGGGAAAGACCAATTCCTTACATGAGGAGTCTCACTGGCCTCAAGGAACCTCCCTTGAAGGGACTATCAGTTTACTTACACCATCTATTTTCATGTCATTTTCATTTTAGACAGTGACTACCAAACTTTTATATGTGATGACCCCTTTCAGCTTCACATAGGTTATTGTGCCCCAATTTGAAAATGAAACACTTTATATATGATAGGTATTTAATAAAACTAGAAATTAAGGGAGCTATAGTAACTGTATATGTCAAAATATAATAAAATTGAAGAAAATAACAATAAAACCTGCTGTATAGCCCTTGTGGCTTAGCGCTTCTTTTTTATTATAATAATAATAACAATAAAACCTGAGATTATAGTGGATAACTAGGCAGATTTTTTCTTATATTTTCATATATTACAGCCCAGCTGTTATTTTTTTTTTTAGAAAAAAAAATTATTGTTGAAGAAAACATTTTCCTTGTCATAAATGTTTCCTTTGACATTTAGAAATGTTTGGCTCAGGGTTAAAATTTCTAAAAGAATTTGGCCTTTTTCTAATATTTAAATTATATGAACTCTTAAGGGTCATACAGAGGCAACCAGATCAGTCCAAAGAAGGGGACATTATTACTGTACAGTATATTCCAACAATGTGCTAAATCCATCCAAGAAAAGGTCAGGTCCAATTCCTAGGATCACGAGCCCTTCAGCAAAAACCCTTTTCCTGATAAATTAGGGAAATTACTGTATATTTAAAATACCTACCATGCAGTCTTTTCATACTTCATAAATGAAAGGCATGTTAAAATTTTCATTAAAATGTATTGAAAGTGGCTCAATAAAACTTATAATGAACTTTGGTCTCATTTACTTTTTTAATAATGTTTTCATACTTCAACATTTTCTTCAAGCATTCCCATATCAAATGTTGCATATATTTTTCATTTTCATTCCCATCCCTAACACTGATAAAGCACTAAACCCACAATGGTCTTACAGATTATCGCAAAATGCACCAGACCCATGCAGGTCATAAAGTGTTCGAGTCACACACAGCTGCATCCCCCCAAAAAAAAGTTGGTCTAAGCCATAAGATTTTTTTATTATTATTACCAGCGAAGAAATTTTGGTTTCACCTCAAAAAATGCTTAGCAACACCACTTGGGGTCACCATTGCTGTTATGAACCCCAACTTAAGAAGTCAAAGAATGTGTCTAGGTATAAAAAGGTGATATTGTTCTTTTATTGCATTTTATGAAGTGCTAAACCAGTGTGGGGCTTTCAAATAATGTGTGCTCTTTTTATAATAAAAACTATCCAAATACTTTACACTGTTAGCTGATCCTGACAATTTTTGCAACAGCACTTGGCAAATTTCCACTACTTTAACTAACAGTGTCAGTGCTCCACTATTAGCCATCTTGCAAGTATTGATTCAGTAGTGGAAAATGATAGAAAAAGAGCAACTCCCTGTGGCAGACTGTAAGGTCCTTAACTGCAGAATATGCAAAGCAGTGTGGCAGCTCATTACCCTGAGCAACAGAATGGCCAGAACCAGTAAAAGATGACCTCTGTGTCTTCTGAAATGTGACACAGCAACAACTTGGATGACAAAGGTACAGTATCAATTTCACTAACTGTTAACTCTCTTGTGCATGAAGTGAAGGGAGACAATGGTTATCTTGGCAGTTCCATAATGAAGGTAATAACCACCAACATTCTAAAATGAGCACAGTAGTTAAGGATTAAGTTCATTTCATCGATATACAGTGGACCCCCGCATAACGATTACCTCCAAATGTGACCAATTATGTAAGTGTATTTATGTAAGTGCGTTTGTACGTGTATGTTTGGGGGTCTGAAATGGAATAATCTACTTCACAATATTTCTTATGGGAACAAATTCGGTCAGTACTGGCACCTGAACATACTTCTGGAGTGAAAAAATATCGTTAACCGGGGGTCCACTGTATTTTGTTTGCCGATAAATAAAATGCGTCAGTGACACTATCCCCTTTACTAAACCTCACTTCAGTTAGTTTTTATTGCCCCAATGGAGAAAATCATGTGCAAAACATAGAATATCATTATTTATTAAATATTAAATAAAGCAAAATTACCATTTTATATTACATTAAAATTATACAGGAGTCATTAAATAGTGGTATGTACAGATGTCTCTACAAATTCAAGAGCTTCCTTATTTACAGGTTTCTACTATCTAGTTTTTATTGATGGGCAATTTGCAAACAGATTTAATAATTCAACAGGTTTTCTGGTTTGATATATTTCTCATGCCCAAATCTGTCACTCAGGTCCTTACTTTTCATATCAATATGTACTAGTATTAACCAGATTAGAGTGCTCTATTAGATATGGTCTCACAGGCAAGTAGATGAAAAGTTCTTCTCTCCTTGATCATGAAGGACTTACAATTACATAAAGGCTATATTTTTTTTGTGTGTGTGTGTGTTTAAATTCTTGTCTCAGAGCATTTTCAGTTGAACACTTTCAATTCTGAACTAGAATTCAGTACAGTAATTTTAAGGTTAATATTTCATAAACTGATAATTACCTTAGAATGAAACAGTAGTAAAACATGTACATGACTCAAATCTGTCTAAAAGATGAGGATCTTAGGATTTAGTAAATGTAAATTTCATCTCTTTTTATGCCTTCTTACAAAAGATGTGAAATAAATTGAATGGAATTAAGGATCGTATAGTGAAGCAGCATCAGCCCTAGTGCAATCATTTGATCATCTGGACATGTTCTCAGATATTATTAGGTTAATGAATATCCTGGATATCAATTAAGAATGCAAGAATATTTTTTAATTGTAAGTATATAACACTCCATGAGGAGTGGAAAAAATTCTTCCTCCACAAGCCATGCTTGTCGTAGGTGACTAAAATGCCTGAAACTTTAGGAGAGAAAAAAGTACATATACAGGGTTAATTTTGTATTACTTGTGGTTTTTTTATTTCACCGGACCTCTACGAATGTGACCCCTAAGAATTTGTAGGGACGAATGTACTGCAATAATTACCATGGGTTGAAAACAAAATACTTCATCAGATGGAATGCATTAACTAAAAAATTAGGTCAAACCAATAATTAATCAATAATTAATAGCACTTACCGTATATGAAGTATTATATTAAGTACTTTAACTCATATCAAAATGAATCTTCCCAGTTTTTTACAACGGTCAGCTTTAAGAACAGACAACTTTTGTATGACATCTGGAATACTGTGCTCACCATGTACCTTGTTGTCACGAGTACGCACGTTGAGAGTATTGTTGGTCTTCTCTTTTTCTCCAACCACAAAAATGAAATTGTACTGCTCAAGCTGTGCATTTCTTATTTTTTTATTCATGGTGTCACCAGGATCAGTGTCATAGTCTGCCTGGAACCCAGCATCATGAAGCTGCTTAGAAACATTCTTTGCATAATCATCGAAGGGTGGAGCCACAGGTATAACCATGCACTGGCGAGGGGATAACCAAAATGGCCATTTTCTCCCCCATAAGACTCAGTTAGGATGGCAATCATTCGCTCCACAGAACCTAAAACAGCACGGTGAATGATTACAGGACGCTTCTTTTCTCCAGTCTCTGACACATATTGCAAGTCAAAACGAATTGGAAGCTGGAAATCAAGCTGAATGGTAGCACACTGATGTTGCCGTCTTAAAGCATCTGTAACAACGATGTCAATTTTTGGACCATAAAAGGCACCATCACCAGGGTTAAGTTTCCACTCCTTACCAAAGTCATTAAGGGAGTTTTTAAAGCTGCTCTTCTGCATCATTCCAAAATGCAATATCTCCCAAGAATTTCTCTGGACGGTGGACAATTTAAGTACAAAGTCAAATCCAAAAATGTTATAAACAGCTGACAAAAATTCAAGGCATCCCTTAATTTCATTCTGAATCATCTCAGGAGTACAGAAGATGTGTGCATCATCCTGCTGGAATCTTCGTACTCGAGTCAAACCACTGAGGGCTCCAGAAAGTTCATTACGGTGGAGTACACCAAAGTCTGCCATACGAAGAGGCAATTCTCGCCATGACCGACTGGTATATCCAAACATTAAGCAATGCCCAGGACAATTCATAGGTTTCAGGGCATACTTTTCCTTTTCTACTTCAAAAGCAAACATATTTTCAGCATAATGTTGCCAGTGACCAGAAGTTTCCCACAATTTGGTATTATAAACATTTGGAGTCACAACCTCTTGGAAACCTCGTTTGCAGTATTCACCACGGATAAAATCAATCAACGTATTGTAAATGTATGCTCCGCGATGGTGGAAGAAACAACTACCAGGACTTAACTCATGGAAGAAGAAAAGCTTCTGCTGAATACCTGAAAGAAATAATTAAAATAGAAATGTAAGACTGGAGTTAGATAAACTTTACACAAAATTATATTTTGTATGTAATACAGTAGAACCTCAAATTTCGAACTTAATCCGTTCCAGGAGCTAGTTCTAAATTCGAAAAATCTGAAAATCGAAGCAATATTTCCCATAAGAAATAATGGAAATACAATTAATCCGTTTCAGAAACCCAAAAAAATATTCACAAAAAAAAAAAAAAAACTTTTTAGAGATTAATTACAGTTTTACATACACACAACAAATACTATAGTGCTCAATTATGTATATAAATAAAAAAACATTTTTCCTTACCTTTATTGAAGATTGGTGATGGAAATCTGGAAGATAGGGAGGAAGAGAGAGGGAGTTGGGGTTAGTGTTTGGAAGGAGAATCTCCCTTCATGAGGACTTCAGGTATCTAAGTCCTCTCTGGGTTACTTCTCTTCTGTCTTTTAATGCCACTAGGACCAGCTTGAGAGTCACTGGACCCCTGTCTCACAAAATAACTGTCTACAGTCCTCTGCTTCTGTCTCACAAAATAATTGTCCACAGTCCTCTGTACATCCTGGCAAGCTCAACAAGTCTCACACCACTCTTATACAGTACTTCTGTATTATTTCCTTCTTCACATCTATGGTGTTTCTCACTTTCTTTACCACAGGGGTGCCACTAGCAAGTTTCTTTGGGCCCATGGTAGCTTATTTCACAGTCCCACAAGCACTAAACACAATGAAATAATCGTAAAATGTTTGAATGAGAGCGCAGGTTACTGTTCGCTCAAGCATAAACAAAGCCAGACTGGCTCACGGCGCCTGCGTGGGGACGCGGACAGAGTGGGCTGGTGGACAGGTCCGGTACCCAGCAGTCCGAAAATAGGGGCGCATTTAATAATAGGGACAAAGTTGGTTCGAAAAAAAGGGTTCTATTTTTGAAGCGTTCGATATGTGTTACGTTTTGAATTTTGAGGTTCCACTGTACAGTATATGTCATTGCACTGTGCTGAAAATCTAATATTGCAAGATATATAACTTGTCTACAGTATACTGTACTTTTGATTACTCATTTCCTAGCAAAACTACCACTTTCTTGAAAGGGCCACTCACATGACTTTTATTCATACATTTTAAACATTTTTTAGTACACGAGACCACTTTAACCCTTAACCCGTAAACGGTCCAAAACGTATATATACGTTTTTTCAACATTTGAAAGTATGTAAAAAAAGTAGATCTTCTTTTTGTTTTTCTACATTTGAAAATGTGAAAAAAAAAACTTTGATCTACTTTTTTTTTGTTATATTTGAAAATATGTAAAAAAACTTAGATCTACTTTTGTAGAACTACACATGCGAACGTAGATCTGCTTGGACCGTTTACGGGTTAAACTGTCCAAACGTGGATCTATGTTATTTTACATTCTTTCTTATGGGGAAAATCAAGGTCGGAGCACTACGCATGAAAATCTAGATCTATGTTTGGACAGTTTAAGGGTTAAAGAACATCTGAAGTTTAGTCATCTAATTCCATAAGCTTGTACAGTTTTAACAATTCCACATACTTAGATACTAAATAATTTCAAATGGTGGCTTAATAATCATATTGTAGTTATCAAGTGGTTGGTCACAGTTCAGTTTTTTTCTATGGTTACATTTTGCACTAAAGCAAAAATATAGTTGTACTCTGTGATCAAGTCAAAGAACAAATATTCACTATCATTTGCTCAATTACTGTCTTTTCAGACAATTAAATGATAGTAAATTCAGTAATTTAAAGTCTTCAAATTTATAAGAAATAAGCAAGCTTTAGTCAAGTTAAATTATTTTTATTTGCAGACTGTTATTGAAATTTCTAAATTATTTGCATCAAGTTACTTGTTTAGCAGAATTTAGAACATACCCATGTTTTATGGAATAACAGCTGAGAGGGATAAAGATTACAGAATGTTATACAATAATCAGTTATACTGAACATATAAATTTGGTAGAAGAATGGTCTATCAAGACATGGTGTCATCTCATGATGGAAATACTCTACCCTTCATTAATTATTAAAATTAATGTTAAATTTCTAATTCTAAATTATATTTAAATGTTAAGTTACTGTACAAATTCTCTCTGAAACACCTGACTATCCTTTTTATTCTTCTCTAATTAGCCCAGCTCTGGGACATTCATTTGTGATACGGATGAGTCCTTTCTTAATGTCTGTACTACATCCACGCACATTGCAATAACCCAGCTCCAAAATTCGATTATATTTTTCTAGTAATTGATATAGAAAATGGGGTCGCCAGCCTTTTTCTCTGGCATTTTAGTTGCCTTCTATGACATACATGGATTACTGAAGCAGCTTAAGGGGATAGGCTGGTAAACTGAGACTCCTGGTTCGAATCCTGATCACTTAACTGAATCATTAAATTCATTCATTACAAATTTTTAGCACATTAACAAGTTACTTTGCGAACTAATTAATCACTGTTGAGTCATAGTTTCTTCATAATCCATAACTGGGTCTTAATAAATGGCCATTACCAACCTGCACAGAATTTTGGTTGGGTAAACCACATGACTTGCAGCATATTGGAGAGGATTTCGGAGGTCAACGCCCCCGCGGCCCAGTCTGAGACTAAGCCTTGTGGTGGATCAGGGTCTGATCAACCAGGCTGTTACTGCTTATGTACGAACCACAGCGCAGCTGGTCAGGTACTGACTTCAGGTGCCTGTCCAGTGCCTTCAAGAAGACAACCAGGGGTCTATTGGAAATCCCCCTTATGTATGCTGGGAGGCAGTTTGAACAGTTTTGGGCCCCTGACACTTACTGTGAACTTTAGTGATTAGATAATAATCAAAGATCATAGGCCTGAATCCCAATCACTCCACTGAAACATTTCTCAATAATTGAGCAAAATTATTATTATTATAATCAAAAAAGAAGCGCTAAGCCACAAGGGCTATACAGCGCTGCAGGGTAGGGAAGGAAGCGAGGGTATTGGATGGCAGAAGGGAGGAGGGATGATCAGTAGGTTACAGAAAACAGCGGGGCAGGGGATAGTACGGGGTAGGGGGTATGGCAAGAGATTGAAGTAGAAAGGGTTGAAGGTATCAGAATTTGTGAAGTCAGTCAGTTGTTGTCAAAAAGTCAATGAGATGCTGGATGAAAGGTGGGTCCATCAGCGAGAAGGGAAGAAAAGAGAGAGCACAGAGCGAAGACGACGACGGAGGAAAATTCTGCGTGCTCGTTGATAAATTTGGCAGTCCAACAGAATGTGGCTGACTGAAAATGGAATTTGGCAATTCTCACAGAGAGAGCAGGGCGCCTCTCCATGAGATATCCATGAGTAAGACGAGTATGGCCAATGCGAAGACGGGAGAGAGTAGTTCCAACCTCGACACTGGTGATAAGAAGACGGCCAGTAACCCATACTCGGTTTAATAGATTGAAGTTTGTTGCCGAGCATAGTAGACCAACGTTGTTTGCCAACGGGTTGTGAAGTTGGGAAGATATTGCAGCAAAATAGTCCGTAATGGAATACCTCTACATAAAAACTGGTAGGTCATGTACTGCTGACCGCGCAGCAGTGTCTGCCTGTTCATTGCCCTGTACGTCAACTGACCAGGACCCAACAAAAAACAATATCTTTATGCTTGGTAAAGATGCGGCATAGCCAAAGTTGGATACGGAGGACTAAGGGGTGAGGTGTATCAAATTTCTGTATAGCCTGTAAAGCACTAAGGGAGTCTGAGACAACCACAAATGATGACACAGGCAAGATGCAATACCGAAAAGTGCTGTAAGGATGACATACAATTCAGCAGTAAAAATACTAGCCGAAGATAAATAAATGCCCTTGTACGACGCTGTCCGGAAACACTGCTGCGAATCCTACGCCGTCAGAAGACTTAGAGCCATCTGTGTACACAGCAATGGCATGAGAATGAGAGTGAAAGTGGTCAAGAAAATGAGAGCGGGAAGCGACCGTCGACAGTTGGGCTTTCGAGCAAGGGAGAGACAAAGAACAGGGCTCGAACAGCTGGAACCTCCCCGGGGGGTAGGGAAAAGTGAGATGCTACAAAGTACATAGAAAGGTGGTAATTGAAGAGAAGACAAGAGTGAATGAAGGCGAAGAGAGAAGGGACGGAGTAAACAGGGGCGGCGAACAAATAAAGAATGTCTACTAATATCAGTGACCATTCTATAAATGGAAGGATTGCGGAGATCATGAGAGCGTACATAGTAGCGAAGGCAATGGGCATCACGGTGATCGGATAAGGATGGAACATTCGCTTCTGCATAGAGGCTCTCAACAGGGGAAGAGCGAAAAGCACCAGGCATAAACTAATCCTTGGTGATGAATGGGTTAAGGCTAGAGAGAGTAGCAGGAGATGCCGTTGAATAGATTGGTCACCATAATCAAGTTTCGATAAGAAAGGGTGGAATGTAGGCGAAGGAGGGTTCGACGATCAGCTCCCCATGAAAGATGAGCAAGGGGTTTTTAAGGATGTTCAGCCGGGTTTTGGCAAGTTTTCCTTCAGAGAGGTAATGTGAGGTTTCCAGGATAACCTACAATCAAAGAGGAGGCCCAGAAACTTGACTATCACGTTCAGGGATACGGGAGCCATAGAGGTACAAAGGAGATGGAGTGACAGAGCGTCTAGTGAAAGTAATTTTTGGGGTTTTTTTAGTGCGGGAAAAATTTTAAAAACCCACGTGGGGTGGCCCAATTGGAAACCACGGCCCCTGCATGCTGAGAGAAACTGTAAAAAGGTAAAACCCAGCCCTGCACACAAAGCAAGTCTCAACATAAGTGGACAATTTTGATGAAACTAGGGGCCCAAATCAAAATAGAAAGGGAAAAAAAAGGGTTTTGCTCAGAACACTCCCGGGGGGACCTTCACTTGGAAAAGTCCGGGGAGGACATTTTAAACCCGAACACGGAAATGCCTGTCATTAAAAAGTTTTAAGGGAAGGATGGTAATTCCCTCAAGGCCTAAGGTGGGTTTGGCTAAAATATTATACCTCCAATTGTGTCATAGCCTTCTAAAGGGTCAAAAAATATGGAAATAACGAGGGTTTTCCAAAGGATTACAAACATACGTATCCAAGCATAGTAAGGGGTCTATGGAGAACGCCCCCTTAGAAAGCCTATTGACGGGGGAGAGATTTGTGTGTCTCTAAAACCACATAAACGTCTTTTTAATAGGCTTCCATCACTTTGAAAATGCACTGGAAAGGGAGAAATGGACGATAGTGGGAGGTTTCTGTCCCGAGTCCTGGTTTGCGGAAAGGAGAAAAATGCGGTTTCCCAGTGTGGAAGAACCCCTTGTGACCAATAAGATTGAAAAGGGCAAAATAGACTGAAAGGGCTGACTGATGTAAAGTTGTAGCATACGAATATAATGCTCGGCCCAGCTGCGATGATCGGCAAGCTGAGAGTGTTGCCCCCATTTCTTGAATGTAAAAGGCACTTTTAACTGTTTTCTCTAGAGAAAAAGTCCAAGGGGCTAACTCTCTGGCAGACTTTGGGGAAAAGAAAGAGGGCAAAGATGGAGCCCTGAAAATAGGGGACCAGATGATTCCCAATTTCATGGCAACATCTAGGGGGTTTGCATACAACCCCGGGAAAACCACAGAACAGGACCCCGGGTCAGGAGAATTTTTACCACCAGTTTTCGACTTTTTTCCAGACGAAATCATAAGAAAAAGGGGTATGGTGGAGAAACCCGCCAGCAAGTCTTTTAGCGTCAGGATGCCCGGGCGAGCGACGCCCCTTTTCTGCTTAAATTCAAGAAGTCTCTCTGTGGTTCTATTTTTACCGGTCCCTTTGCCCAGCAGCGCGTTTCAAACGTACTGCACGGCACAACGGGAGACCAAAAGGAAACGCATTTCTGAGAATGCCTCCCCGAATTTTGGGGATAGAATGAGAAGCTGCATTTTAAAACGGAGGGCAAAAAGGGGTGAAAAAAGTCACGATGGAGGACGAAAAAGGGAAACCTCTCAAAAACAGTTAGGGGGGGAAAAGGTTCCAATTTTCCCGATCAAATTGCCCGGGGGATGCGAAGAGGTGGTGAATATAAGGGGAAGTAAAAATTTGGGGAAAATGATCGCGCATGTAAGCCGGGAAAAAACAGACCAATGAATCTAATCGCGGAGGAAGAGCAAGAGAGATCGATGAAAGAAGAGTGTGAGTCCGGGGATCAAATGGGTGTGAGTCCCGTATTTAAAACATGGAGGGGGGGGGTGGCAAAAAACCCTCTAACTGAAGCCCGGGAATCACATGAGACCCCCCCCAGAGGAAAGGGGGCATTAAATCACCAATTTAACAAAAATCGGTGGGGGAAATGACGAAACAAAAAGGCAATACCGAATAGTAATCCCCGGAAGGAGAAGATAAAAAGAACAAGCGTAAAACCACCTATGCAAGTGGTACGGGACGTGTAATGCACGAAGTACAACAAATAGCTGAGGGTCGGAATATCAGTGCGTGAAGAAGGGCATTTTCATTAAAGGCCCCATCAGGAGAAGGATCGAAAATACAAAAAATTATACCCTGAGAGGGGAGAGATAACAGCAGAGGAATTTTTGGTTCCTGTAACAAACACCAACGGGGCAAACCCGGGGGGGTAAAAACTGAAGCTCACCGATTACCCGAGGCGCGATATTCCACTGTAAAAGGCCAGATTGGCAAAGATAAAAATACCCGAAATCCGCAGGTAGGGTTCCCACGGGCTAGAGGGGTTAGAAAAGTCCACATGCGGGGGCATGGAAAACGTTCAAGCAGCAAAGGGAAAGGTGCGCTGTGAAAAAAGGATTCGCGAGGAGTAGAGGGGAGAGAAGGAGCGGAGGGGGATCATGTCCATTTATGTTTGGTCTCTGCAATATATTAGGATTGCTTCAATGTTT